AGCATCTTTTGCCTTCAACATCTTTCAGCTGGCATACCACAGTTAACTAACCAATCATAGTGGATTTGAGATTTAAAATTTTTTTTTCAAGGAACCAATGGTCCTTGCAAACAATGTTTTGCAGAAACCCCAGTTAAAAAAATCCCAAAACAACTCTTTGATTTTTCTACTCAAAAAATTGATTGTGTTGACCCTCAACAACTTAACAAAAACATTGTTCAACTTGAGATTGCTAGATACTTAGATATCTTCTCATACTAAGATACAAGCCGTGCAGTTCAGATAGAGTGTTATCACATGTATGGAATTTTATTATCCTCGGAGGAGGACACACAAAAGAGCTGACTCCCAAATATAAATGGAGCACAAAACAAATGCCTCAAACCTCAGGCAACCAACACGTGCCTGTGCTCTAAAGTGACGCTTTAAAATTTTCTAATGTTGGTGATGGACAGATGGCTCAGTAGTTATGAGTGCACACTGGTTTTAAAGGGGATCCATGGGAATCCATGCCTCTGGCTGCTATGACACCTGGCCAATTACCACCCCATCTACACACATGCATATAGATAAAAATAAAAATTTAAAAATCTTAGTTATAGTTATATTTTCAGTTTTCAGAAAGACGAAATGCTGAATTTCATGAAATACCAGCAGCTACTTCTCCAGCACCATATCTGCCTGCATGTTGACTTGCTTCCCTGCCATGTTGACATGGGCTAAATCTCTGAAAGTGTAACCAAGCCCCAGTTAAATACTTTCTTTTGTAAGAGTTGCCGTCGTCATGGTGTCTCTTCACAGCAATAGAATACTGAATAAGACACTTTTAAAATTAACTTTAATTAAACATTGTCTTACTTTTTTATTCAAGCAAATGTGTACCTAAAATGACTACCTGAAAAATAGTTCCTGCCTTCTCTCCAATTAATGTCTTTGTTTGACTTTCCTTTGTTTTCTTGGATTATATATTGGCATGGGGAAGTGGACATTGATGGAGAAACTTGTGAGTAAAATATAGTTTAAGCTATAGTTTTCTTAGTATCCATACCTTTATACTATCTACAACAATATTATCAGCAAAATAGATATCTGAACTCACAAATTGTATTTTAGTGAGTAAGTCCTACATAATCCTAGGCAGAACTTTAGGTCAGCTTCCTAGATACTGAACAAATGAAAAAAATCAAGTCTTGTGAGTTGTGTTAATTCACCAGTCAGGTTTACCCAGTCCTCACCATGGGTCAAGTCTTGTTTCACATGTTTGGAACAGAGACATGAAAGAAATAGATCAAGATCCCTGACCAACAGGAGATGGATAGTCAGTAGGAAAATATATGATCTCTTATAAGACGAAAAGCACCATGGGGAAAAAAGTGGATCAGAAAAAGGGGGCACCAGATGCGGGGTGGGAGGGGGCCAATTGACTTTTAAGTCTTGAATGACGTGAGCACACCTAAATTTTAGCAAAACCCTGAGATAAGAGCATCTCCTTTGTGTTAACAGAACTTCACACGCCAAAGTGTGGGGAGTGATGAAAAAGAAGTGAGGATTGTGTGAGGGGAGGATAATTCTCCGAGTGATTTGGGCTCTCAAAAAGAAGCATTTGTCTTTTGCATTGGGCAAGATGAGAGACCACTGGCTTTGGGCTTTCTGTAGGGGAAATAAGGTGTCATTTGAAGATTCTGAGTACAGAAGAGTGATATAACCCAACATCTACTGTTTATTATTATGTTTTTTTATCTGTTTTGGGATGGGGTTGGAGATAGGGTTACTCTGTGTAGCTTTGGAGCCTGTTCTGGGACTCACTTTGTAGACCAGGCTAGCCTCCAACTCACAGAGATTCGCTTGCCTGTGCCTACCCAGTGCTGGGATTAAAGGCTTTTAAAGGTGTGCACCACCACATCCCAGCTCCACCCAACATCTATCTTTAAGGGCTGCTTTGGCAACTTTTTTGAGGGTCGATATCAAGGATCAGACATTAAGTGCTGGAAGGCAAGTTAGGATACTGCTGTAGCAGCAGAGGTGAAGGCTGTCCATGTGACTCTGTCTTTGTTTCTTTTCTATTGCTGCAAAGAGACATCATCGCCAAGGCAACTCTAGAAGAAAGAAAGTATTGGGGCCTACAGTTTCAGGAGGAGAATTCATGACCATCATGGTGCAAGGTGTAGAGTATTGCAGCAAACAGGAAGGCAAGGCACTAGGGAAGTAGCTGAGAGCTCTCATTATTATCTATAGTTGGATGCAGAGAAGGGAGAGAGAGAGAGAGAGAGAGAGAGAGAGAGAGAGAGAGAGAGAGAGAGAGAGAGAGAGAGAGAGAGAGAGAGAGAGAGAGAGATTAATGGAAATGGCTGGCCTTTTGAAACCTCTAAGCTCATGCCCAGTGACTCACCCCTTCCAGCAAGGCCACGTCTCCTAATCCTTTCCAAATAGTTCCATCAACTGCAGACCCAGCATTCAAATGTATATACTAATTCGGGACCATTCTCAGTCAAACCACTGCGGACTTCTACCCGGAAATTAACAGCGTCTACCTATCATTATGAGAAGTAGTCAGCTCTATAGTACATCTTCACTATGCCAGTGAGACCTTTTCCTTGTGGAGCGCATGTCGATTTGGGATAAAGAGCAGAATCAAGGCTGACTCCAGGATGTTGCTCTGAGAGCTGAAAGACTAGAAAGGTGAGGAATGTATTCTGTGAGCAGAGAGAAGAGGAGACAGGTAGCAGTCAGCTTGTCCATTTCTGCATAGTGATTAGGTATTCTGGTGATATGTCCAGTGAGTACTGAGATAAAATGAATCTTAAATGCAGACAAGCAGATTGGGAATGGAGACTAAGCATGGCATATAACGATTTTTAAACACATGGGCAAATGACAAAACCGTAAAAGGGTTGGTACTGTGTGGAAGAAGACAGGAGTGAGTGGATGCTGGAGAGGAAGAGCACATGGGGATGTTGTTCCTACATTCGTCTGAAATGTGCGTCTTCATGTTGAGCAGAGAAAGGTAGAGGAAGGAAGGATTGGCAGTGGATGCACTTACAAGGTATGTTGCGTTGTTCCTCTTCCCGTGGGACTGAGAGAAGGAACACGAGTGTGGGTGAGAAAATAATATCCTACGAAGCTAGCAAATTTAGAGATTGCTCACCGTATCTTTATTGTTGGGCATTCTTTGAAGTTTTCATTATTTTTGACAGTCTCATACAGGTATACAATAAGATATATTGTATCTACCTACTCTTCTTCCTCCAACTTTCCCATATTTCCCCAACATGTTCCCTTCTCAACTTCAATTCTTTTTACCTTTTTCTGATGGTATACTGTTTTAGTTAGGGTTTCTGTTGCTGTGAACACTGGGACCACCACAACTCTTGTAAAGAAAACATTTAAATGGGGCTGGATTACAGTTCAGAGGTTTAGTCCATTATCATCACGATGGGGAGCATGGTAGCAGGGAGGTAGACATAGAGCTGGAGAGGTCCTTGAGAGCTCTACACCATGATCCAAAGGCAGGGGGAAGAGGGCGCATTGCGGAATATGAACTGAAGATGCATTACACTTTTTTTATGCTGTGGAACTTTTATTTAATGGTGTAAAGCTGTGTTGCATTCTTTCATGTTACATTTGTTTAACTCCGTGAAGCTGTGCTGATTGGTCTAATAAACAGCTGGATATACATCTATAGGAGAAAGGATAGGAGGGGCTGGCAAGGAGAGAGGATAAATAGGAGGAGAAATCTGTGTAGAAAAGATGGAAGAGTGAGGGAAAGAGGGTGACTTTAGGGGCCAGCCACCCCGCTCACACAGCAAGCCAGTGAGTAAGAAGTAACAGGATGAATATAGAATAGGGAAGGTAAAAGCCCAGAGGCAAAAGACAGACAGGATAATTTGAGTTAAGAGAATCTGGTTAGACATAAGCCAAGCTAAGGCCAGACACTCATAAGAAAGAATATGACTCTGTGGGATTTATTTGGGACCTGGATGCCAGGACCCTCGGAAAATAAATGAGTAAAAACGGTCAACTATAAGAGAAACGCTGGGCTTGACTTGAGCACCTGACATCTCAAAGCCCATAGGCAGGGATGCACTTCCTCCAGCATCAATGCCACACTCCCTAATAGCTCCACTCCTCATGAGCCTGTTGGAGCTATTTTCATTCAAGCAGCCACATCCGCTAACCTTCAGCTAGTACAGCCCATGTGTACGTGGATACGGCCCATATGTATGTGGAAACGGGAAACCTGTGAGTACCCACATCCTCAGAGAGGAATGATTCTCCCCGTTGATCGACTCTCAACTGCTCGGCAGTAAAGGATGGTGCCTGGTGTGTCAGAACCTGAACAGGTAGCTCCAGCTGCTGTGAGTTCACCAAACTTCTCACGTCTTATGTGTTGCATGGCACATATACAACGTGACATGGAAAACCCTAATCTGATTCTCTAATACAAGATGGAAGACTTCGTGTATGGAATCTCATGCCCTCAGTACAGCTACATAGAACTTCTAGGAGGTTCTCAACATGTATTTGTTGAATTATTGATGTATCATCATTGTTCTTTGTTGAGAATTTTATTATGTGGAAGCTGTACTTCATGTTTAATGAGGACTCTGAAAACTTTTTTTCAATACTTTTCCTAGAGACACTTGTACCTACTGCCTTAGACACCAGTTTATTGAGACAGATTGCACATTTTCTCCATAATTACTTGTCAGAACTCACTGGCAGGTAGACACAGTGGGTGTGAACTGTCTCTTTATCTTAATTCTGGCTGACTGGCGATTGCAGTTAATGACACGTCCATTGAGAGTATGACTGTATTTAAAGACAAGACGAATTGTTTCTTTTCACCAAGATGTCTGTTCAAAGCTACAGCTCCAATCTATACTTATTTGGGAGTACTCTAGAAAATGTGATATAATTTCAGCGAGTCCTTTCAATACTTCTTGAAGGAGTAGAGACTGAGAAGTCCGTTTTGCCCTTCGAAAGTAAGACTTGCTGCTTACCCGGATAAGAGGAGATGGCGTTGATGTGGGCGGTTCTGATGACGCCCACGCGGGTGGCCCTGTTATTCTTCATGCACATGCAGACGCATATGGCGACCCCCGCAACGACCCCCATGATGAACACGATTCCAAACACGATGCCAGCAATCGCAGTACCCCTGAGGAGGGAAACGACAGAAGCACATCTGGCTCAAAGGTCTGGAAGGAGCTGAGCCTCAAATACAGATCATGGCTCCAAGCTAAGTGTTTCCTTACTGCTGCGCCTTAACGGGAGGGTTTTGTTTATTTAAGAGAAACCCTGGAATTAATCATGCAAATGGTCTCTTGTATTCAACAGGTTAAGAAAAGCTGAAGCCTGTAGGGAATCTTTGTATAGCAAGCACACTTGACAAACTCACCGTTCAGATTCTGGCTTTTAAATTTCATACATTTGAGCTAGAGAGAGGGTTCGGCAGTTAAGACTGTGTGCTACTCTTCTAGGGGCCCAGTAAGGCAGCTAGTAACCACCTGTAACCCCAGCTCTAAGGGATCAATCATTCTCAGGTGGCCTTGGCAGTCAACTGCTCTCACATGTACATACCCTGCCACATACACGCGTGTACACACACAGAAACCTTTTATAAATTCATAGTAAATATGAATCTCTGTCTACAAAATAGTAATCTAAAATGAATAACAATCTAACATCATTTGTTATATACTTAAATGGAAAAAGAATATGTATATTGAGCAAGGAGAATATTTCATTAAAAACTTTAAAATCAACTTAAAAAATACATTCTTAATTAGAATGCTTTATAGAGTAAAGGTGCTTTTTCCTCCTAGAGAAAACTAAATGAAATATCTATGCCTCCTCCCCCCCATGTTCTCAGAGGACAGAACAACAAATACATATTCCATTAAATTCAGGAGCAATGTCAGCACAGCCTCTATTTCCACTATGGATAATGGTTTTCTCCAGAAAGCATTAGCAAATGCAGCAAAAACAAGTGAAAAAAAAAACCGTAGAAGACACTTGACATTACTATTGATTTTACACTACATGATTTGTAGCATCAACATTTGTCAGTGTTTTTAGAAGCGCTTTGTCTTTACCTACATGAAGTCTGACTGGGCGGTGTCAGCTCTCTCAATGCTTCCCTGGAAATCCAGCACAGTAGTGCATGCATGAATATTATAATGAGGATGCTCCCCAAAGTGACAGAAGGGAAGTGGGCATGATACTCATGATACCTTCCTACCAACATTGTGAATGAAAACACAGGCGTTGACAGATAACATCAACATTAGCAGGGGAATTCTGATACCCTGGGAAGGCACTGTATTTTCATGAGCTCAAGTTTTGAATGCATACCTATCTGTTGTTTTGTAAATCTGGAGCAATGAAGGCATTTTCCATGCTTTAATTTGTACGTTGTACCTAAAACGACCATTTCCAACTTTCAGCTTCATTGCTGAAAATAACATAATATAATAATATAAGCCTATTTTTAATTATTTTTTCAGTCTCATATAGAGATAACTTTTACACGCATATTTCCTTCGTAATCACTGTCTTTAGTTAAAATAGTTAGCAGTATTTATATTACCATTGCACTGTACCTTGCTGGGCCAAGCAGAATACTGTGGTAACTTAGAGTTCTCTTACAACCCATTTTAAGGAAGTTCTACGAGTTTCATTTTTACATATACTAATGCAATTCTTTCCCCCTGCCCATGGTTCCTTGAAAATTTTCACCCAATTAGCAATAACTTTCATTTTCAGGCACAGTAAAAACACTCATCGGTATTGTTCTGTTTCCATGGAAACCTCTGGACCATGCTGCTAACTCAGGTTGTGTGACTCTAGAGTTCGATTCTGGGTCCTTGGTTTCAGGACCACACTCCTAGTGACTTCTTATGGAGAAATCTGAAAGGAAGTTGTGTGATTGGAAATGACTGTAGGCCATATCTTCCCTTGGTTTCATACAGGCTGTTGTGTTAGCTCTACTATACAGTGAACACCTCAGGTGGTTTATTTCGGCTCGTGGTTTCAGACATCTCAGTCTCTGTGCGCTTCTCCTTGTTACCTTTGAGCCTACAGCACAGCGGTACATTCTGGTAGAAGGACCCAGGGGAGGAAGTTGCTCACTTTCTGTCACTCAGATAGCAAAGTGAAAGCTGTGAGAGCTCTATTCCAATGACCCAATTTCTTTCTACTGTTGTCCAGATTTTTATGGTTCCAGAACTTTCCAGTAGTGTCACCCAAAGCACCATGCACCTGAGAAGAATTCCTTTGGGAGACACTCTGGAAGCTGTGCATGCAATTCTGAAGCAAAACACAATTTCTCAGAAACTTGGTGCCTTGCTCACTGCCGTCTAGAATGTGGTACTGTCCCACGGGAATTCTATAAATCCTAATTACTTTGCTGTGTGTATGTGTCTTCTGTTCTATATTTTTGGAAACCTTTGGCATTTCTACTAGTAGTCTAACATTTCCTATTGTAGCATGATCCAGAAAGAACTGACAGTCTCCTAGGAGTTTCCCTTTCTAAAGACTGATTGTTGCCTGTTCCTAAACACCATAAATCAACAATTTTTCCACTCTTTAACATGGCTTACCTTCTTTGATTAACTTCTGCTCTTTCTTAATTCCTTCTCTGTCATTATTAATGTGTTTGTCTTTTTAAAATACAATGTATGGAAATTCATTTACTAAATCTTCCCAAGTCTCAATTTACTTCATAGGTCAGCTGTTACAGCTCGAGTTAGTAGCTGTCATACCTTACAGTCTACTATGTTTCTTGTAGGGTTTTGTATTTATTATAAATTTTTTAGTGATATCCTGTTTTCCTCTCATAGATGTATATTTTGGTTCAAATTTTCTTTTTCATTTCTTTTAAAACCTATTTTCAGCCTCTTTTCTCACCTTCTAGAGTACTGATGTCATATAGGCTTTGAAGCTTTGTGTATTCCTTGTATTTCCTCTGCCCTCTCTGAATTCCTTTCTTTGGATTGTTTGATTTGATTGCCCTCGTGATTAGTGTTCTACTCAATTGTGTGGCTATCCTTGAGTCTTTGCTGCTTTGTTTTGGATGTGGTTAAAGTCTGTTGACCAAAGGCACATGCATCGGGAGCTCATTCACACTCACAAATGTGGGCTGTGAAGAAGTAAAAGGTAGAGCCTGATGGGAGGTGGTTAGATCTTTGAGGGTGTACCCCAAGGAAGGATTAACAGAGTTTTCAGCCCCTCCGGGAGTTCCCTTGTTCTGTTATGTAATTGTCTCCTCTCACCTCTTTTATCATCATGATTCCACCTGTCCTAATGTGACTGACACAGCTGGATGGGGTCTTGCTGAAGGTAGAGCCCCACTGTTTATACTTTTGGATTTTAAAACTGAGAGATAAACAATACCTTTTCCTTTTTTTTGTAAAAGCAAGGATATTTTCTTGGAGAAATGAAGTGCAGACTAATGGACCCTTCTATCAAAATAAAATAAAATAAAATGAAATAAAAGGTTCTGGACAGCCTCTTGCAAGTTTAGTGAGCAAGGTCAGAAGCCAGAATTTGACAAATAAGACATGCATGGTCATTTTTCTTTTCTTTTTTTTTCGTGGTGAATATCTTTTTCATCAGAAAAGCAGATTTTTGTTTTGCTTTGTTCTTGGAAAACATGATTCTGCCTGGAAATTCCCTAAAGCTTAGACTTTTTGCTAAAGAGGTTTTGAATTCACAGGATCCTTATGATTTCATCTCAGGGACCCAATCTTGTTCTGTTATGACTGCTGCCTTTCAGCTTTAAAACCAGGACTTCTGAGGTCAGACTCCCTGCTACCTGCAGCCTGGGTACCTCAAACAGCTTGCATAGCCCTTCTCTGCCTCAGTTTTGTCTTCTTGAAATGACAGCCAGCTTGGTGCTTATCAGCCTCTCTTTCCAGATCCCTTGTCATGGACTTGTGTTCCCAACTCATTTGCCAGATACATTCCTACTGCCAGTGAGCTGTGAGCATCTATCCCACATCTTCTATGAATAACTCATCATCTCCATCCCAAAGAAAGGCATCTCACAGACCAAAAAGGTTGAAATGTTGGAAAGGACAGCATGTGTGTGTCATGTTGTGTGACGGTCCCTAAGGCAGCCTTGTTGTAATCTGAGAACACTCGTGTTTCTGCAGTGTAGGTGGGGATGTTAATATGTACAAGTTATCTAGAGACCACTAAACAGACCCAGACTTCTTCAAAGTCTATTCTTTCACCAATCGACCCTCATGTGAACTTTGAAATCTTTCAGTGTTCTGAAAAGTGAAAGTGCAGACAAATGACCTGAGCTGGTGTTACCCAAAAGCCATCTTGTCTTTAAGACTCTTCCCTAAACTCTTACAGCTGATTAACACCTTCAGCAAAGTGGCGGGCTACAAGATCAACTCAAGAAAATCAGTAGCCATACTATATACAGATGATAAAAGGGCTGAAAAAGAAATCAGAGAAACATCACCCTTAAAATTGCCACAAACAACATAAAATACCTTGGGGTAATGCTAACCAACCAAGTGAAAGACCTGTATCCCAAGAACTTTGAATCTTTAAAGGAAGAAATTAAAGAAGCCCTCAGAAAATGGAAAGATCTCCCATGCTCTTGGATAGGTAGGATAAATGTAGTAAAAATGGCAATCCTGCCAAAAGCAATCTACAGATTTAATGCAATCCACATTAAAATCCCAGCACAATTCTTCACAGACCTTGAAAGAACAATAATCAATTTTGTATGGAAAAAACAAAAGACCCAGGATAGCCAAAACAACCCTGTTCAACAAGGCAACGTCCAGAGGCATCACCATCCCTGACTTCAAGCTCTATTATAGAGCTATAGTCCTGAAAACGGCTTGGTATTGGCACAAAAATAGACAGGTAGACCAATGGAATCGAATTGAAAACCCGGGTATTAACCCACACACGTACGAACATCTGATCTTTGACAAAGAAGCTAAAAATATACAATGGAATAAAGAAAGCATCTTCAACAAATGGTGCTGGCATAACTGGAGGCTGGCATGTAGAAGAATGTGGATCGATCCATGTTTATCGCCATGACAAAACTTAAGTCCAAATGGATCAAAGACCTCAACATAAATCCAGCCACACTGAACCTCTTAGAAGAGAAAGTGGGTGGTACCCTTG